AATAGAGAGAGGAGAGAGATTTTCATAAACTGCACTGAGAGAGAGAGAGAAAGAAGAGAGAGAGGAGAGAGAGAGAGAGAGCGCTTTGCATAAACTGCACTGAACTAACCCTAGCCCTAATCCTCAAAGCAAGATTTTATATCCGATGAATTTCACTGGTTTGGTTTCAGGCAAGGTCTCTAGCCTGACAGGTTAGTGTGGCCTTGTGGGTCTGTCTGCAAACACAAAAGGACAGTCACAGCGGGTGGAAGGGAAGAACCGATATTAAGAGGACCAGCAACCTGAAAACTCTCAGCAGCCACCCAGGGCCAGACCGGCTGCCTGCTTTTGATAAGAGAGATTGTACAGATAGTCCTTGAATTATATGATCACTTGCTTAGCAACCATTCCAAGTTATGATGGTGCTGAAAAAGGGACTTAATGACCAGTCCTCATGCTTACGACCATTGCAACGTCCCTGGGGTCACATAATCCAAATCTGAGCACCTGGTGTCCATGGGAATGGTAGCATCCCAGGGTCCCGTGACTGCTATTTGTGGCCTGCCTAGCCAAACTCTGACAAGCAGAATCAATGGGCGAAGACAGAGTCATTTCAATACCTTGTGATTCACTCAGTGATCCACAGTAAAAAAAAAAAAGGTGCTACGTGTGCAACTCACTTAACAACCATCTTGCTCAGCAGTAGAGACTCCATCGACAATTGCAGTCATAAGTCAAGGACCGCCTGCAGAGAAATGTTTGTGAGAAGCCCTCAAATCAGGAGAAATCTTTTCCAATAAACAAATTTTATTCACTTCTGCAGCTCCAATCATCAGATGCCAGGAGGGACCTGACTGGGGTGGATGTTATATCAAGGGGTGAGCCAGGGAGGAGAGGAGAGGTTGGTTAGGGAGGAGCTGCATGCAGGTGAGGCGCTTTTCACCTATGAACCCTTGCAAGGTGTGAAAAAAACCCCACTGCCTTTGTTTGAGGCGGCCTCAGCCCTTCCTTGCTCAGCGCTGCTGTTTGGCTGGGTGACCGCACATACGAAGATCTTAACTGCAAAATAAAAATAGATGAGAAGTGTCACCTCGCTGCGAACAAAAGACAAATCCAAGGTCTAAATTTAAAAAGAAAAAAAAGGGGAGGGGAAATTGCTTGGTCTCTTTTTTTCTTTTGAGAAAGCCTGTTTATTTATCCGTTAGCCTTGCACAAGGGTCCCCAAAGTTGGCAACTCTAAGACTTGTGGACTTCAACTCCCAGAATTCTCAAGCCGGCATAGCAGCATGGGAGTTGAAGTCCACAAGTCTTCAGGTTGCCAACTTCCGCGTGCTTTTCCCAAGAAAACTCCAATATCTTCAGTCAGGGATGAAAACACGACTCGCAATTTCCTTTGTGCCTCCGGCTGCTTCGCCTCCTTCCTGCAGGCCCCGGCCGTCTTTTCCATCCGCGCCTGCCCTCCCAGCAACCCAGGCCCGCTTCCCTACTCAACCTGCAACCTTGGAAGGCGCCGGACCCTCTTCGGAGCGGCGGTTGCATCGCCCCGGCAGGAGAACCGGACACCCCGAGGAGTGGGAGCCCCTTCCGCACCCCCCTCACCCTACCCTTGCCCACATTCAGACGCTCTCATCGCCCGGCTGCGGCAGTGCTACTTCCTTCCACCCCTGTGAAGACTCGGCCGGCTGCTCTGGCCCGTCCCCACGCTCTCCCCTCCTGGGAAGGGCTGGCTGGCGCGCCCCGCCGCCCTGCTTCTCTTCGGCACTCGGCTATGAGGCTCCTCCGCTGCCTGTGCGCCCCTCCGCACCCCCTCTAGGCCAGGCACTCCAGTCTCCCCCACCCCGTTTCCCGGCGGCCCTTCCGGGGCACCTGGCCAAGCTGGCATTTCCCCAGCGAGCCACAAATGCCCCCCCCCCCCAGGCCTCCCAAGCAAACCCCGGGGGGCCCCCCCCCCCCGGGGGTAGGCCGCACCTTCACCCAGAAGCTCGTCGGGGACCGCCAGGGGCTCAGTAGGGTTGCCTCGGGAACCTGCGCCACAAGGATCACCTTGAGCGCCTGGAGAAAGGCGAATACAGACAGAATACAATACAATATGTCAGAAATGGTGTAGGGCCTCCTGCCTGGGCTCTTGCGTGGAGTGGGGAAGGGGGTTGGCTACATGACCTACAAGGTCCCCTCCAACTCTTAATCTGTAAGTAAGTAAGAATAGAATTCTTTTATTGGCCAAGTGTGATTGGACACACAAGGAATCTGTCTTGGTGCAAATGCTGTCAGTGTACATAAAAGAAAAGAGACATTCGTCAAGAGTCAAGAATCATCAGGTACAACACTTAATGATAGTCATAGGGTACAATAAGCAATCAAATCATACTAGGAAACAGTGAATTGGATGGGATGGAATGGAATGGAATGGAATGGAATAGAATAGAATAGAATAGAATAGAATAGAATAGAATAGAATAGAATAGAATAGAATAGAATAGAAGAATTCTTTATTGGCCAAGTGTGATTGGGCACACAAGGAATTTGTCGATGCAAATACTCTAAGTATACATAAAAGAAAAGATACACTAGTCAAGAGTCAAGAATCATCAGGTACAACACTTAATGATAGTCATAGGGTACAATAAGCAATCAAATTATACTAGGAAACAGTGAATAGAACAGAACAGAACAGAACAGAATAGAATAGAATTCTTTATTGGCCAAGTGTGGTTGGGCACACAAGGAATTTGTCTTGGTGCAAATGCTCTCAGTGTACCTAAAAGAAAAGATACATTCATCAAGAGTCAAGAATCATCAGGTACAACACTTACTGGTAGTCATAGGGTACAAATAAGCAATGAAATCATACCAGGAAGCCGTCAATATAAATCTGATACAAGCAACAGAGTTCCCGTGGGAGAAAATGGGTTATAGGAACTTTGAGAGGATTGATAGTAATTGTAACAGTAATGCAAACTTTGTAAATAGTTTGACGGTGTTGAGGGAATTATCTCACGAAGCGGCCAGTTGCCCAGCTCGGGCCGGCCTCTGTCTGCCCCTTCTTCCCCTTTTCAAGTATCCAGCTTCGGCTCCAGTGGGGAGGGGTGCACCTCAGTCCTACAGAGGATGAGGGAAGGGTGGGGGAGGACTCTACCACAAATTCTGCAAGGGATTCTCTAGGGCAGGGGTCTCCAACCTTGGCAACAGCACAGCTGGCTGAGGAACTCTGGGAATTGAAGTCCACAAGTCTTAAAGGAGCCAAGGTTGGAGACCGGCTGCGTCTAAGGCGCCTCTTCCATGCCCCACAGTGCGACAGCAAAAGGCTGGACGCAATAGCCGAGACTCGGGTCTGGGAGTGGGGGGTCACCTCGGTCCTCCCAAAAAGACCTTCCCTGGAGACAGGGTGGGGCAGCCTTCAAACTCCCATCTGACTTGGAAGCCGGGCATAAGTCGCGTCTCGACGGGGCGGGGGGGGCCGAGGCCGGACAGGGCGGGGTGGGAGAGGGGGGGGGGGGGCGGGGCGGGGGGTGGGGGCGGGTTGGGGGGCTCCCCCCCCCCAAGGAAGCAAAGCAGCAGGGCCAGACGGGCCCCCCCCCCCCCACGCCCCCGGCGCTCGCCATTCCGCCATCCTTTCAGCGGGTTTCCGCGCCCCCCACCCTCCCACCCGCCTTCCCCACCCCTCCACTTCCCTCCTCGGCTGGGCTCGGCTCCATTCAGCCGCCCGCTCGCAGGACGTTCGAATCCCCAGCATGGTAGATTTTAATTAGCCTTTGTACAGATGGCCAATTAACATTCATTACTTTTGCCTTGAGCGATTAATTACGAGTTTGGGGAGGGGGGGGGGGGGGGGGGGGGGGGGAGAAAAGAGCCCGGGACCCCCCGGAGGGCCCGCGGGGGGGGGAGGGGGCAAGGCGGGTCACCGCCCTCTCGGCCTCCCCCACCCCCCCAGGTCCTTCCCACATCCGGAACTGGCAAGGCGCGACGCGCCCGGCGTTTCATCCCCCACCCTCAGTCCTCCAAGCCGGGCCCTACTAAGCCCCGCCCGCGGGCCGTGGGCGCTGTTGGGGGGAGGTGGGGGGAGCCGGAATGTAGCGGCTGCCGACCGAAGAGCTGCCTACTATCCCGAGTCGCTGGAAGTCGGCTGACGTCGCTCCGACCGCGGTGGGAGCCCCTCTCTCCTCTTCCCCAGCCCGGTTCCTTGCCTTGCCTGCCCCCAGCTGCTCTTGCCACAGTATCCGCGCCTCTTGCCGCCCTCGGGACCCCGAGCGCACCTCTCACCCCACGGAAGACGCCCTTCCCTCCTCGCACACACACACACACACACACACACCCCGCTCACGCAGGGGCTCCTCCCCGCCCCAGCCAAAGGCAGGAGAAGGATTGAATCCCCCGCTCTTGCGGGCGAAGCGAAGGAGGGCCCCCCCCACACACACACATCCTTCCTCCGGCCGGTTCTCGCTCCGAGTTCACCCCCAACCCCCCCTCAAGCATCCCGGGAGCCCCTTTTACTGCCAGAGACCGAAGTTCTCCTGCAGGCTCCGGGAACCCCCCAGAATAAAAATGTGCTGGCGGGCAAGACCTGACTTAGAACATAGAATGACAGAGTTGGAAGGGACCATGGAGGTCATCTAGTCCAACCCCCTGTTCTAGCGGGAGACTCTAGTCCAAATATTAGCCTCCACCTAGGATCGAACTGACAGCCTCCAGAGCTCCACCTAGCGACTTGGGCCAAAGGCGAACCCCCCGAGGCGCCACTCGCCACCACCTCCCGCTCACCGACCGGAATCGCACAGCGCCCGTTGGCGGCGGCTCTTGTCTGGCTTCGGAGCAACTGGTAGCGCTGGCCGTTCTTTGGAGGGAGCCCCGAGAGCGGCGGGTTGGGGTGGGGATGTGGTTGAGGGGACAATCGGCATGCCAGCCCAGGAATGATCCCGGGGGAGGGGAACGAAGGACGGGACAGGCCCTTCTCCTGAGGGGCGGGGGGGGGGGCACAGAGCCCCCCCCCCCCCCCGGGGAGGGTGCAGGGCAGAGCCAGGCTGGGCCGGACCCCGCCCGGCACCAGAAGCTCCGGCTGCGAGGCCTTCCCGGCGTGGAGCAGGCTGCTACCTGCCGAGCCTGGTGGCAGGATATGGCCCTCGGGCGTCTCCTGCCTTCCAAAAGCGCACTTTCCGGGAAGCAATCTGGAGAGTCTAAATATAAGGAGCAGAAATCTGTTGCGCCTAATCAGGGCTGGGAGGCTGCCATCTCCGCGGCGGCGGCGGCGGCGGCGGCGGCGGCGGCGAACGGCACGCAAATTGCAAGAGAGGAAATGCGGCGGCGGCGGCGGCATATGGCCTTGATGGATGGGCCTTTCCTCTCCCCGAAGCCGTGGGGACTTCCGGAGAAATCCACCACAAATCCCATGTTGCACGCACAGGGACTTCTAGGCCTCCCTCCCTCCCTCCCTCTCTCACACACAGACAAACTCACATTCACACACACAAACACACACACACACACACACAGAGAGAGACTTAGAGTTACTTGGACTTTATCTCTCCCGCCCATCAAAAATCCAAGGCAAAGCATCACAAGGACCACCTCCTTTGCCTCCTCTTTCTCCTTGACTCCATCTCCCTTCCTTCTCCTCCTCCTTCTCCTCCTCCTCCTCCTCCTCCTTTCTCCCTGACTCCATTTCCCTTCCTTCTCTTTCTCCTCCTCTTTTTCCCTGACTCTATCTCCCTTCCTTCTCCTTCTCCTTCTCCTCCTCTTTCTCCCTGACTCCCTCTCCCTTCCTTCTCCTTCTCTTTCTCCTCCTCTTTCTCCCTTATTCCACCTCCCTTCCTTCTCCTTCTCCTCGTCTTTCTCCCTGACTCCATCTCCCTTCCTTCTCCTTCTCTTTCTCCTCCTCTTTTTCCCTGACTCCATCTCCCTTCCTCCTCCTCCTCCTTCAGAGTCCACCCACCTTTATCTCAGCTGACCTCTTGATGACATCATCAGCACACAAATGCCATTTTCCTGGGAACAACCTGGAAGCGAACAAACCCTTCTGGTTTACCGGAAGCTTCTTTCACCTCTTCTGGGGGCGTCTGCAGAGGGCGGGTCAAAAACAAGTCAAGATAGGGGCTGTGAGGGTGCAGCCAAAGCTCCCTCCCCCCTTCAGCAGGGATAGGCATGAAAATGGGGGCCTAGCTTTGATGAGGCTTCTGAGGCCATCCTTTTCTACTTCCTGTTAATCCACAGCCCGGGATTTCCTCGTGGTCTCCCATCCACACCCACAACGCTTCAATTCCCCCTTCCTGCCTTTGCTGCCTGGCTGGGATTGGGTTTTGCTGCTGAGACTATTTTGATTTTTTCTGGCCCTCCCGTTTTTTCCACCAAGCCCGGAAAGGTTGGGTGGGTGGCTATCGCATCCATGCAACCCTTCAGCAGCACTCTGTATAGACAGTCCCCTCCTCCAAAGTGATTGGACATTCAGGGTTCCATCTACATGGACTGGCTGGGGCTTCTGGGGCTCTTCTAATGGTGTTGGGGGGCAAGAAAAGCCCCACTCGGGTGGAAACTACCATGAAACACAGCGGCAAGAAGATAGATTTCCTTTGCTGGCTCTTGAATTGTCCCCATCTTTAAACATTCTTCATGTTTAATTACTTTTTTGGAGGGGAAAATGATTTTTCATCTCCTTGAGCACTGAATTAGAAAAGTGAAA